ATTAAAATTTAAAGTAATAATTTGTAAATCATCTGTGTCCTGCATTACATCAAAAACAATACAGCAGCACATTATTTGACGTGATGCCTCATCAATTTTATTCTTTGTTCAGAATAATTACTGCAACATATTCCAAAAAAAGTTGGCGGTTGAATTTGAGGGCCAGTCATGAGGTAAAACAGTGAAATGATGATTTCATTTGACAAAATCAGAAAAAGTTGGGATGGTATGTAAAATCAAAATTAAAATTAAAAGTAATGATTTGTAAATCATCTGTGTCCTGTATTACATCAAAAACAATACAGCAGCACATTATTTGACGTGATACCTCATCAATTTTTTTTTAAAACAATGTTCTTCAAAGAAAGATAGGAAGGGATTTGGCTATGTCACCATCTATGGTGCATAACATGTGTCAGGCACTACAATGCGTAGTTACATCCATAAATGCCACCTAAAACTGTACTGTGTCAAAAGGAAGTCCTATGTCAACAGTGTCCAGAAGCACAGTTGACTGCTTTGGGCTCAGAAGTGTCTGGAATGGATCATCACACAGTGGAAATGTATACTGTGGTCAGATGAATCAGTATTTCAGGTCTTTTTTGGAAGGAATGGATGCCATAGGTTCCGGACCAAAGATGAAAAGCACCATCCAGACTGTTCCCAGCAACAAGTCCAAAAGCCGGAGTCTGTCAGGGTCTGAGGTTGTGTCAGGATCCCTGACAAAGGTAACTTAGACTTCTGTGATGGCTCCATTAATGCTAAAAAGTATATAAAGATCTTGGAGCAACATATGCTTCCTTCAAGGCGACATCTTTTCCAGGGGTGTCCATGCTTATTTCAACAAGACAATGCAAAACCTCAGTGCACAGGCCTGGCTGTAGAGGAAAAGGGTGTGAGTGCTGGACTGGCCTGACTGCAGTCCCACCAATATTATACAAAATTTATGCATTTTGAAATGCAAATTGTGTCAACAAAGATCCAGGACTGTTGCGCACCTTAAGACTATTTTGCCAGGAGGAATGGGACAAAATTACACTTGACACACTTAAAGAGCAAATGATCTCAATCCCTAAATCTCTTTTAACGGTTGTGAAAAGGAACGGCAGCATCACACTGTGGAAAATGCTTTACTGTCCAAATGTGTTGCAGGCATCAGAACTGAAGTGTTTATTTTGAACAAAGAATAAAACCGATGAGGTATCACATCAAATAATGTGCTGCTGTATTGTTTTCAATGTAATACAGATTGATTTTACAACTTTTTCTGATTTGCGGTTGTATGCTAGATCTTATAATAACGTTGCTTTCTTTATTTAGATATAAGAATTAAATTCCTAAAATCTGAACACAACTTTAAAAGTGGAATTTTTTGACTGCACATGCTTTTGTGGATATATTTGGCTCACATCAGCTGATTTTGAATAGCACACTGACACTGTCTGAATATTTTAGGTTCTAAACCACAACTCCATTCTTGTTTCATTGATTGTACTCCAGGTTTACTAACACCTGACTCCAGGTGACCTTTAGTGACATTGGAAGCCTGCTGTTGTCATTACTTTTTCCACCATCACTTTGTATATTTAATGAGTGTGTTCAATGAAGAAATGAAAGATCATGACTGTTTGTGATTTATCGGCTTAGAGATATTGTGTTTGTTGATATCTGTGACTTTGGTGAAGATTAGATTACATTTCATGAGCAGTTTATGCAGAAAACCAGGAAATTGCAAACAGTGTAATTACTTTTTCTTGAAACTGTATTCACTGTGTCTTGCTGCTTTTTATGATAGCAGGCTTTCTACCCACCTTCCAGTGTGGCCATTCAAAAAAGCTGTACTCCCCCTGTCCTCACCCCCACCTGACACAAGCATGTAAATCACACACTGCGAGTACCTGGGCTCCCAGGTGTCCCAGGGCCTGGCAGGGGGACTCTCTTGTTGGAGGCAGGCTGCGGGGGGGTCTGTGGGCCTCCTTGTCTCTTTATCTGTGCCACTACAGGCTTGGGGGAAACTGGAGGCTTTGGTTTCCTCACTGGACCTCCTTCACTGCCCACTGGAGCTTCTTGGTCCATACTGTCTCTGTGAGGTGGTGCTGTAGCCATTTGCGGTTGAGATTGATGAGGTTGCGGCTGCTCTGTCACTCCAGCATCAGAAACAGGGCGACGTTTCACTGTGGCAGTACCATTCTGGTAAGGTACTGGCTGCGTGGTGTTTGCTGTCCCAGCGCCTGCAGGCTCACCGTTGGCTGTGGCCAGGTCTGCGTAGGTCTCAGGCTCCTTGTCACGACTCTTGGGCCGTCGTTTGACAGTGGACGATTCCTGGAGGATGAAGTCGGAGCCATTGGGGTAGGGTTTGGAGGTGTGGGGCCGGCGCTTGAAGTTCGCTGTGGTTTCGACCCTGGAGACATCATCCTGCGAATAACCACCATCCCCCTGCGGACCCTCGCTGTCACCCTGCAGACAGACACAAAATACACACTAACGGAAAAATTCATACATTCATGACAAGAGGTCATTTTTGCACAAACAGTCAAAAAACATTGACAAAGATAAATGGATAGCACAAAGCTTACAGAACAAAGGTTTCACATTAGCTTACTACAAAAGGGCACATTTAACTTTAGCACGTTACAAGGCATACATACATACAGTAGATACTTATATAGATAGACATAGATAGTATAGATAGTCAAACTACCTTCACATTACCAGCTGAAGTCACTCAAATCCAATTTTTGGATGAGTGACTCAGATTTGATCTTTTGCGCAAACCAAATCTGATTTTTTTCCATATGAGATCATTGCACATGTGGTCCTACATCTGATTCACATCCAATCTCTGACCATGTGACTGCTGTGAGAATGGTCAAATTGGAATTTATTTCTTAATGTCTCACTCCTCTGCGCATGCACATATCACCTGTCACTGTCACTCAGTGTAAGCCCCTCATAGAGTGGTAAAAATAAACATGGGGGAGACCAACAACAGTGACGGGGGTCAGTGGAGAGACAAGGACATTTCACACTTGATAAACATTTATGGAGAAGCTTCTGTTCAAGCCAAACTAGAGGGAACATATTGTAAATGAGCAATTTTTGAGGGAATTGTGTGATTTGATTGTCTGACTAATAATGTTAGCCTTGTACACACTCATACATGTGGCAGTTTAAGACCTCAGCGGTGTTCAAATCGGAGCTCGATACATACATTAATGTGAACCATCAGCACAAAAATATCAGATCTGACATAAAAATCAAAATTGAGCATGAAGTCCTGTAATGTGAATGTAGCCACAGACAGATTGATAGATAAACATATATATAGATAGCTACCTGTCCTTCTTCTCCTCGACCCTGGCGGCGGATGGTCAAGCTTCCTTCCTCTGCAAATGGTAGGTTCTCCGATGAACTGCCACTGCCTCCCGTGCTGGGGTCAGGTGAAGATGGAGGATTGGGTGAGAAGGAATTTATAGCAGATGGGGAGGTTTCTGGCTGGGTAGAAGGACAGGGGAAAGTGTAGGGAGTTGGCTGGTCACGCCGAGCAGCTGCTACCAGCTCGGTGACAGGGCCACTGATGGTCCGCCGTCGGTTCACCACCTCGCCGTCCAGGCCAATGGCATCACGGGTTTTTCCCACCTGTACACACACAACAGTGTCACTGGTTGATCATGTTATAGCTCTTTAATCACCTAAATTAATGTGGAAACTTGACACTTTACAGACTATATACAGAACATATATAAATGTGTGAATATTCCGAATATAATGTGTGGATATTTACAATGACTCATACAGACAAAGTGTATTCTAAAATACCTGCAGGTAATTCTTCTGCAGTGCCATGCCTTTGGGTCCACCCCCTATTGAAGACATTTCCAACATAGCAGCGATGCTTCTAACACTACCCATGCTGCTCGTCTCCACAGCACCTGTTTCCACGGACACCCCCAGGTCACTGGCCCGTCTCTGTTGGTGATAAGGCACATCCAGCATGCCCCCTGTGGTGGTGAGCGTATGCTGCTGTGCGTTGGCATCTGTCAGGTTGGAGTTGGAACTGGAAATGGCAGAGCTGGAGCGTTTGGGAGGTGGTGGGGGTGGGCCTTTTTTCTTCTGACGCAGAGCGAAGGACTGCGTCTGACTGCGACTGGTATTCTTTTCCTGGTTGCGGACAGAGTGGCTGCGGCTGACACGATGGGTCACTGTGGCATATTTACCTCCTTCCCCTTTGACAACGGCTGAGACCTGACCTCCTGCTACCTCTGCTTCTCCTCCTCCTCCTCCTCCTCCTCCTCCTGCTCCCCCTGCCCTCTGATCACACTCCCCATCGGATATGGCATATCGGTGAAGGGTGTGGGCATGTTTCTTCTGGAGTGCCGTGGGGTCTGCTCCTTCTCCCTCAGCCAGCTCAGCCAGCTCAGCCTCTGGTGGGAGACAGAGGAGTGGGACCTGTGATTGTTGGCTTTCCCTGACCTCCATCACCTGCATCTGTGGATGGTGTTGAGGGTGTGCCTGGTGTTGTAGCTGGACTTGAGGCTGCGCCTGCTGCTGGGGCTGAAGCTGGGTACATGGAGCTCCGCGGTGGGTGGGAGACTGAGGAGGGTGGGGGTGGGAGCGTGGCGACTGAGGTCTCTCCCCCTGAAAAAAGTGGGGGGATGGCTTTGTTTTGGCTGGTGGGGAAGCTGTGCTCTGGGCAGAGGAGGTGGAGGAAGAAGATGAGGTTCTAGTCTTTGTAGGGGTGTGAGGAGGTGTGTAGGGAGGAGCAGGCTGAGAGTGGGAGTGACGGTGTTTGCCTTGAGAGGAGACACCGCCTCTGTGGGAGGACGTGCTTCCCTGGCTGCTCTGCTGTCTCATAGTCCGCGCCTCCTTCTTGGGTGGCCCAGCACCTCCTCCTCCTGTCATCACCTCATCATGGTCTTTGCTGAGGGTACGAGTTCGCTGAGCTTTGATCTCCTGACCTGGCTGGGTCATGGCACTCTGTAGCTCCGTGCTCAACTCGCTGTCCTGGAAGGTGCTCATCTTTGGAGACATGACCTCTGGAGAGAGAAAGAAACTCTTCACATTAATAAGAAGATTATTAAGACTGGATGTAATGGCTGGCCAATTAAAGAAA